AACTAGGCCACTCAGGAACATTCAATGTCGTGTTGATAAGCAGCTCGAGGGTATATTTGGCCTTGTGTTTGAGGTTATTGTCCTGCTGGAAGGTGAATTTGTCTCCCAGTGTCTGTTGGAAAGCAGACTGAACCAGGGTTTCCTCTAGGATTTTGCCTGTGCTTAGCTCTATTTTTATTTTATTTTTATCCAAATAAACTCACTAGTACTTGCTGATGGCAAGCACACTCATAACATGATGGAGCCACCATCATGCTTCCAAATTTGAAGAGTGGTACTCAGTGATGTGTTGGATTTGCCCCAAACATAACACTTTGCATTTAGGAAATAAAGTTAACTTCTTTTCCATATTTTTTGTAGTTTGACTTTAGTGCCTTATCGCAAACAGAATGCTTGTTTTGGAATATTTTTTATTCTGTACAGGCTTCCATTTAGATTAGTATTGTGGAGTAACTACAATGTTGTTGATTCATCCTCTGTTTTCTCCCGTCACTGCCATTAAATTCTGTAACTTTTTTAAAGTCACCATTGGCCTCATGGTGAAATCCATGCGCAGTTTCCTTCCTCACCGGCAACTTAGTTAGGAAGGTCGCCTGTATCTTTGTGTGACTGGGAGTATTGATACACAATCCAAAGTGTAATAACTTCACCATGCTCAAAGGGATATTCAATGTCTGTTTTACCCACTTACCAATAGTTGCCCCTTGCGAGGCTTTGGAAAACCTCTGTGGTCTTTGTGGTTGAATCTGTGGTTGAAATTCACTGCTCTACTGAGGGACCTTACAGATAATTGTATGTGTGGGGTACAGAGATAATAATTTTAAACACTATTATTGCTCACTGAGTGAGTCCATGTGACTAGTTAAGCACATTTTTACTCCTGAACTTATTTAGGCTTGCCATAACAAAGGGGTTGAATACTTATTGGCTCAAGACATTTCAGCTTTTCATTTTTAATTAATTTGTAAAAATGTCTAACATAATTCCACTTTGACAATAGAGGGTATTGTGTGTAGGCCAGTGACCCAACGTCTCAATTTAATCATTTTAAAATTCAGGCTGTAACACAACAATGTGGAAAAAGTCAAGGGGTGTGAATACTTTCTGAAGGCAGTACATTTTAAGGTAGGCCATCTCATTTAATATTTTTGTAGAGAGGTCAGCCTTCTGCTGTTGCTTGTTTCAAGTTCCATTACTAGTGATGTGAGCTGCATGTCTTACCCTTAACAGTGAATTTGATGTATCTGAGTTCTGTGTCAATGATATCACACCTGTACAATCCCTGATCCTCCTCAGTGAGGTGTGAGAGGAGTAGAGAGGTTCCCAAGAGAGTTCTCAGTATTAAACATCACTCTGTGGTTATTATAGATTTCTGTAGGCTTAACCTAAAGACTGCTTTGTCTTAAAGTGCCATGTGAGTCTGGGAGGTTTGGCCAGGAGTTCAGGGCAGGAGTGTAGGCTCGGCCCTAATTTATGTGCTCTCTGACACCTGGAGTTGCATGGCAAGTGGTCCAGGAACAAAGGACAATGCCAAAGGACTAGTCAGCCCTTCCCCCTCTGAAGGGCCAAAATGTATGTCTCTGTTACAGTATCCCGAGCACTGAATATTGAATGTGGTAGAAACCATACATGGATACTATAGTATTATTCTATCTTAAACTTGTTCACTGAGGATAACTCTGATGCTATCTATATATATGTATGATCTCTGTGGTAACTTGTATCTGTATACGGTGAACTCTAATTACTCTCAAAAAGGTTTTATGGTCCTATCAGGAATTCGGTCTTATTTACATTGGACTCATCCCCCACACAAGCCTCTAAATGCTGTGACACCCTGTAGAGATTGGGCCTTGGTGGTCAGGTTACACTGTAAACTTGGTATTGTTTGATTGATTGGTCAATAGTGGTTGGTCTTGGGTTGAAAGGTTACACCTTCAGATGTTATAAATGGAATGAAATGCCTTTGTTTTCTGTCTTATCCAGTATCCTAGGCTTCTGGGCCTTTGGCCTAGTAAGCATCTCTTTGTCCATGCTTTGCCTTGTATAATTAACCTTAGAATCTATATGCCTAGAATAAGCCTTTGTTAATGTCAGTATTGCCTTGTAACTTAAGCTTTATGCCTTGTATGTGAACCCATTCATTTTACAAAGTTATTAAATAATACTTGCTTTGATATTAGCTTCTCATGACCATTCGTTGATCTTAGTCAGCTAAACGCATAAGACTTGATTGCACATGGTTCAACTGTAGTCTCTTGCATCTTGCTAATTATCTTTTATAGAGTCAGATAAACATTGAATAGGCTAATTGCTTAGTCTTATTACGAGTCGCATGTGAGATATTTATAATATCATACAGTGGGGGGAAAAAAGTATTTAGTCAGTCACCAATTGTGCATGTTCTCCCACTTAAAAAGATGAGAGAGGCCTGTAATTTTCATCATAGGTACACGTCAACTATGACAGACAAATTGGGAGAAAAAAAATCCAGAAAATCACATTGTAGGATTTTTAATGAATTTATTTGCAAATTATGGTGGAAAATAAGTATTTGGTCACCTACAAACAAGCAAGATTTCTGGCTCTCACAGACCTGTAACTTCTTCTTTAAGAGGCTCCTCTGTCCTCCACTCGTTACCTGTATTAATGGCACCTGTTTGAATTTGTTATCAGTATAAAAGACACCTGTCCACAACCTCAAACAGTCACACTCCAAACTCCACTATGGCCAAGACCAAAGAGCTGTCAAAGGACACCAGAAACACAATTATAGACCTGCACCAGGCTGGGAAGACTGAATCTGCAATAGGTAAGCAGCTTGGTTTGAAGAAATCAACTGTGGGAGCAATTATTAGGAAATGGAAGACATGCAAGACCACTGATAATCTCCCTCGATCTGGGGCTCCATGCAAGATTTCACCCCGTGGGGTCAAAATGATCACGGTGAGCAAAAATCCCAGAACCACACGGGGGGACCTAGTGAATGACCTGCAGAGAGCTGGGACCAAAGTAACAAAGCCTACCATCAGTAACACACTACGCCGCCTGGGACTCAAATCCTGCAGTGCCAGACGTGTCCCCCTGCTTAAGCCAGTACATGTCCAGGCCCGTCTTAAGTTTGCTAGAGTGCATTTGGATGATCCAGAAGAGGATTGGGAGAATGTCATATGGTCAGATGAAACCAAAATAGATTTTTTTGGTAAAAACTCAACTCGTCGTGTTTGGAGGACAAAGAATGCTGAGTTGCATCCAAAGAACACCATACCTACTGTGAAGCATGGGGGTGGAAACATCATGCTTTGGGGCTGTTTTTCTGCAAAGGGACCAGGACGACTGATCCGTGTAAAGGAAAGAATGAATGGGGCCATGTATCGTGAGATTTTGAGTGAAAACCTCCTTCCATCAGCAAGGGCATTGAAGATGAAACGTGGCTGGGTCTTTCAGCATGACAATGATCCCAAACACACCGCCCGGGCAACGAAGGAGTGGCTTCGTAAGAAGCATTTCAAGGTCCTGGAGTGGTCCTAGCCAGTCTCCAGATCTCAACCCCATAGAAAATCTTTGGAGGGAGTTGAAAGTCCGTGTTGCCCAGCGACAGCCCCAAAACATCACTGCTCTAGAGGAGATCTGCATGGAGGAATGGGCCAAAATACCAGCAACAGTGTGTGAAAACCTTGTGAAGACTTACATAAAACGTTTGACCTGTGTCATTGCCAACAAAGGGTATATAACAAAGTATTGAGAAACTTTTGTTATTGACCAAATACTTATTTTCCACCATAATTTGCAAATAAATTCATTAAAAATCCTACAATGTGATTTTCTGGATTTTTTTCTTCTCATTTTGTCTGTCATAGTTGACGTGAAGATGAAAGTTGACTATGATGAAAATTACAGGCCTCTCTCATCTTTTTAAGTGGGAGAACTTGCACAATTGGTGGCTGACTATATATATTTTTTCCCCACTGTATACACAGTATATACACATGTCAAATATTACTGCCCACTACAGGAGCACAGACTGACCTGTGTAGGCAGGGATCTCCTGCTGTGGGTTGTTAGTGCCTGACAGAGTACAGCTTGCAAAAGCACAGTGTAACAATCTTTAGATTACATTTCAAATTCAGGATTCTGCATGTACTGTGTCTGTAGGCAATCAAATATGCAACTAGTGCCTCTTAACAGAATCCATTGCAGTTGCACTTATGATCAACTTAAATGTTAAGCTCTTACTTTTAACAACTAAGCAAGGTACTGTTTGTTACATTGTGTCACACAAACTGACTGTTGAATGAATGTCTTGATAAATACAGCCAGATAAATGCAACAAGTAACACGTCTTGTGTTTGTGATTCTTCAGTTTTACTGAAGCATACAATATACATTTTAATCTGCAATGTATTCTGCTTTGTATCATTCAACAACACATACAGTATAGTGTACATTGTATATTGGTATTTACATACATCTTATATGATTTATTTTATTTATTTTGTATGAGTTGTTTGTCTCCATTACATGAAATAACCTACACATGTAAAAAATACTCTACCTGCCGTGATATGAAGGAAAGAGCATATCAGACACAGAGGTCCACATGAAGACTGTCTCCTGATGTTGAGAGAGATGCTGTAAACCAAGATACTGTTTGTTCAGTGTGTTTTAAGTGTTAAAAGAAACGGAATTTGACACACTCCCCCTGAGTGTTGCCTCTGATAACGGTATTTCAGTACTGTATGTGTGAAGGTAGTCATAGAAGTAGACTGGAGTGTATGAGGACTGTCATTACCCCCTGACTCTCAGCCTACATCCGGTTCCAGGTCACTCTAACAGGCCTTTCTGTTTCTCTTTTTTTCTCTAAATAGTCATATTCCTCTTATTACAGTCAGCTCTTCTCAAAATGAAGTGTGTCAATATAGGAGATGATTGTCTGACAATACCATTATTTTGCATTGTAGTATGATGTAATGAAATGAGTTACTCGTACCCTTAATCAGTCCCTTTCGTGTGTGTGTGTGTGTGGGAATGCATACGTGGGTGCGCTCCAGCCCCCAGGTCGTCAGAGGGTGAGGAAGGGTATCTTCAACCGCCTGAGCCAGGCCATGGATGGGATGAGGAGGGAGGGCCACAAGGTACCTCAGTATAATATACTGGACAATCAAAACCTAACCCTGCACCTTCCACATGTCACTCTAAGGACAATCAAGAACTAACCCCATCCTTACATACCCTATCACATCCATATACATTAACCAGACAATACTGTGTGTTCAGCACAACATCCACAATAGCTGAAAGTGTTTAGAAGATTTGTGTGTTGTCATATTGTCAGAAGTGAATCAGGACATGACTTTCTGTCTCCAGGATGTGGATGACTTTTTTCAGACTGAGCGTGATAACAACTTAACCCTCACAGGGTGCTCCAAATCAGCAACAGAGGTTAGTGCTCTGTACCATTCTCTCTCTGTCTCTTGGCCTGTTTTGGTTGTTTGCAGCCCCTCCAATATCTACTCTTTTTCCAGAGGTTCATTGACGTGGTGCTGACAGAACAAAGTAAGACATTTGCTTTGTTTCTCATGATGCTTAGTATGTGTAAGAGAGTGAGGTTGTGATTGAGTGTGGTTGCAAATGTTCTATTGTGGCTATAAACTACGTTTTTGAATTGAGTATGTGTTTGTGTGGTTTCTGCTGCTGTGCCTTACCATGTGTTTCCCCAGAACTAGCAGTGGCTTGTGGACACTTCTCAACCTCTCTGCATCTCTGTGTGGAGCAGGAGGAAGACTCCACTGTCCTGGCCTTCTCAAAGTGAGAGAACCACACCACAGATATCATAGATACAATAAACCAGTGGTATTCAAAGTTGGGTTTGGGGTGGCCAAAATTAAACAATAGGAATAAAATAATATATATTAAGAGTACAGATTATTGTATGGGACAATATATATATTTTTTTAGAAAGATAATTTGAAAAATACTTTTATTGAGTAAATGTATTTATTGGTTTCTTTTAATTTTGATAAGAGATTAAAATGAAATGAAGGTTAGGCCTATTTGTTGATGTAAAAATAAAAATGTACAGATTTGGTTGTGACATTAGATTTGGGGTGGGGTCTCCAGATATTCTGGCGGACAAAATTGGGTCCCCGCTTAAAAAGTTTAAATACCACTGCAATAAACGATCTGTCTTCACCATGTATATGGGGCGGTGGTTTGTTTAAAAGGGACTCACCTATTCCCCTGTTTCTTCCTGCAGGATATGTGTCAAGCTGTCTGAGGTCATAGATTCAATCAAGGTAAAATGTCATCCTCGCCGTGTGGAAATATCAATTTGACCAAACAACAAAAATTGCATGTAAAAAAAGACTGGGTGCATATTTCACATGATTTACCACACATATGCATTGCTAATTATGTTTGTCTCTTTCTCTGTGGGCAGAGAAACTTTGAGAGTGTTGCTGAGAACAACTTGAGCACTATGGGGCTGGGGCTGGATCTGGAGTCTCGGTACCAAGAGGCAGAGAAGGTCAGACATCATCTTTCATTACTAGGCCAGGAGTTTTTCCTGTCTACATGACCTGACTGGGAAAAACTCCTGGCCTTAGTCTTAGCTGCTCAGTTATTGGTGAACAACAACACTGTTCAGTATTAGTGTTGTAACTGTTAGTGCTCACAGTTTGTATTAGGACATACTGTCATTTCCATTAGGACATGATGGAAAAACCTCAACCCATTCAGCTTTCATAGACATCACAAACTGCATAGGAAACTCTTTACACATATTATTGATATTAAAGTTGTTTATTAAGTATTATCTTTATGGATAAATAAGTATGATCTTTGAGCCCTTTGAGTGTGTTGTGTTGTAGGAGATGCTGTACAGGAGGACCTGTAAGCTTGTGGAGCTAGAAACAGCCAGCAGGAACGCAGAGAGAGCCAAGCCTGTGAAGAAAGCTGCTGTGAGTGTTGTTCACACAGACAGACACATCAGGCACTGCTTGTTCCTCATAAATCCAGCAGGTGTCAGTAGTGCTCTCTCATCTAGAGCCAACTGCTTATATGGCTTGAGACTGTCATGACTGCATAAAGATGTCCAAGTAAAAAATATAGTTGAATTGGTACTGGTGAACTGCAATACAATTAAACAGTGTTTACACTTTTTCCAATGTGCACTTATCAGGACTCGATTGTATATTGACTAATAGTTCTGAAACTGGGTTATGTTCTGCACTGTGTGAGTGATGTATTTTCCTCTCTGATTCAGATGGATGAATTGAAGGTGGCAGCTGAGAAGGAGTTTGATCATGTATCTGGAGTGGCTAAACAGGAGGTACGTATAGCCCAGTGGACTGCTGCCTTAACCTTTCACCTCCAATTCTCACTTCATTCTGACTCTCTCCCCTTAGCAGCTCTTATACAACAGAATGTTGCTTTTTGTCTGCTGAGTCTTGACTGAAATAAATGTTCTGTTCTATTTGATTCTAAAGTTCAGTGGTGTGTGTGTGTGTGTGTGTGTGTGTGTGTGGTGTGTTCCAGATAGCAAGGTTCCACAGTGCTCGTGTGGAGTTGTTGCGCCAGGCTCTGATTCTGTGGTGTGAGAAGCAGCTTGAAACAGCCAGGGACACCTCCACCCGCTACAGCCAGCACTTGCAGGCCTTCAAAGAGCTGGGGGAGTGACCACCACGGGCCAGACACATCCCCTGCCATGACCGCCACACACCCCTCTGACCCACCTGAACACAGTTTGACTCTGTCTGAGCACCTCACACTAAATATGTCCATGTATTGTCTATGTATGCGTCAAACCCTGCTTCCATTAAACGTGTAAATGTAAGGAAATCAGCATAATCCTTATAGCAATAATAACACAATAGCTTTAGCTTCTCTCGACCTCTCTTCGGAGTCAGATGCGAGTAGCTCAGATTCGCTCGCGCGCTCTTCTCCTCTATCTCTCTTTCTCTCTCACTCTCTTCTCTCTCTCTCCTCCTCTCTCTCTTCTCATCTTCTCTCTCTCTCTCACACTAGCTCTCTCACCTCTACTTTCCTCTGAGTAGAGAGATCTCGTATCTACCTATCTATAGCTCTCTATCTCTTCTATCTTCTCTCTCTCTCTCTCTCTTCTCTCTCTCTCTTATCTCTCTCTCTTCTCTCTCTCTCTCTCTCTCTCTCACTCACAGTCACTAGTCACTACTGTGTCCTCTGTCCAAACCCCTCTCACACTCACACCTTAGTAGAGAGGGAGTTGGAATCTCTGTCAGTAGTGTGTAATGGTGCAGACAGAGAGCAGATAGTTCTGTGCAGATCTCTAGCCATCACCACATCAGTAGTGATGAACTCATTGCCCACACTGGCTGCCTGTGTGTGTTTCTCACTCCAGGGTCATTCATCAGTGTGTTAGACTCCTCCCAAGGATACTCCCACTCTCTCTGTACTCTGTTTCTGGGACTGTTCCCTCTGCTCTTCCCTCTGTTTGGTTTATATGCTGATTCAATGACTGTTCTCTCTTCTGGTGCTTCCTTAACTAACTGTGGCTGGGCCCTAAAATGATCCTTGTATTACTGAATGTGAGTGTACTCTAGGCTGTCCAATTCAAATAGACCACTAACCCTACCCCTTGGCACTTGTCTGGATGTATTATGTATAAGCAATATAGTAATAGCTATGGTAGGCTGGTATTGCTTAAACCTCTTAAATCCTCCCAAATCTCCACAAGTGATTGGGGGTCAATTCTGGGATTGGTCGATCCTATAACTGATCTTTGTGCTGTTCTCTCCCCTGACTCTCCACTGTGGCTGATCCCTGACTCATCACTGTGGCTGATCCCTGACTCTTCACTCTATGCCGCACCCTGTGTTGACTCTGTTGGCCATATCTATGAGGATACTGCTGTGTCTTTGAGCTTGTTTGTCTGGTCTGTAATCTCTCTGGTCTGTAATCTCTCTTGAGTCGTGGGGAGGAATAAGACCCATCACAGTAATCAGGGAGAAAGGAGGAGAGCAGGAGAGGAGGATGGGGTAATCTGACAGTGAAGGAGTGTTTGGACACAGCAGAGATGATCTTGACATCAGGCTACATATTGCTATATTCACACTGTTCTGGAGTCAAGATAACCAACCCAGCCATAAAGCCCACTGCTGCTTTCAACATGTACACTTTGACATACAGTACTGTACATTCGACGGTGCATATCGGAAAAGTGCATTGCAGTTCACCTATCCCATTTCAAATACCTGTATATCCATTTCACGTGCTTGAAAATCTGCATGCTCTGATTTGGTGCATGCATTCAAGACCGTCCCAATCAGCCACGCTATTGCATTTATCAGGAGTTGGCTGTATGTTCTAACTATGCATGTTTTCTTTTGGCCTGTTTACTGGTGTTGTGGTTCCTGTTTACTGCATGTGATTAACTACCAAGTCAATTACATAAGATCCCCTGGCATATGTTTCACTCAGTAATCTATACAGAGGTCATTGTGCTTGACATGTGGAATCAATTAAATCAGTCTGGAATATATGCTGTGCCTGATGCTGTGAGCAGAGCATTGTTCATTTTGTAAATCTTACCAATAATACAATTATGCTCAGAAAATCGTAATGTGAGAATTCTGAGGTATGTAATAAACATATGCATTTACCAATTGATTTGACATCAGATTTTTGATTTCAGTTACAACAGTTTTGTGTGGGTCTTTTTTTGTGATGCTTTTTAACTGTTCTTATCCACATGGCCTTGGTGCCAGTACCAAATCAATTTAATCAATAGCTAAACATTTGGTTTAACAGGTTTTATATGAGACTGTAGTGCTCTAGTGGCTTAGTGTTAGGCACAAATTGGCCGTCATTCATTTGTTTTATTTATATGTAAGTACTTTATAATTCCTGCACTAAACATATAACATGATTCTAACACCTCAATGTATTTGAAAATGCATAACACTGCTGAATGCAAAAATGTTGATTCTGATGAAAAGCACAATAAAGGTTTGTGGAGGTATGTGTTTAATGGGCTGTTTTTGATGACTCACTGATTTTTACCTCTGATGTTCTGAAGGCTTAAATCAATATGAGGAATATGCTTTACTGTGTGGATACAAACCACAAATCTTGAAGTATATGGATAAAGATGCATATGCTTCAGGAATACAGATGAGGGAATCCAAACGGTTGTGAGAAAATCAGCAAACTGTTACTGTTCCTTGGGTGCTGATCATGATTTGATTATCCTGGCTCTTTTCTGTTCCAGGACCACATTATGCCAGCTGAATAATACAACAGGGAGCTATATTTCCAAATGGTTTTATACATTTTGCGCTAATTAGTGCACATGACTCGTAGACACACACACCGTGATGAGAAGGTTTCTGACACCTGGGCGCATGACCGAGCAGAAGGACAGAGATCATGGCACTGTACACCAATCATGCACGATGGTGTGACTGTGTGCTCTTCTCAATGAAAACATGCGCTTAAGGCTAATTTAGTAAAGTGGCTCATTACTGGTGGGAAGGCAGCAGCACTCCGCACCCATGCAGCCCTGTGGCCCTCTACAGGCCTGTTTCTCAGCTGCTCATGAAGTCAAAGGCCTGTCAGAACAAAGTGTGATGGTCTAGTGACAGGCCCAACAGGGCTCAACCAGGTCTAGGACAGAGCACTAGGACCAGTCCTAACTGGGCTAAACAAGAGCTAGGACAGTGCAAATACCAGTCCAAAACGTGACCAAGGCAAAATCTCAATTGCATACTCCTGGCGTCCATTCTCTATCCTCGTCTCCTTCTCAAAACCCATTGGAGGAGAAGGTCAGAGGGGAGGAACCTCTGGCTTTCTCATCTAATGCGTTTTGAGAAGGAGACGAAGGCGAGAGGGTGGAGGACGGACTTTTGCCCAAATGAGAAAAGTCCCAAGACAGTGAACTAAGTACAGTGAACTACTGCCAATTCTAGGAGGGGCTTAATTTGGGACTCTCAGGTGTTGAGACTGTCTTGTTGCACACAACTCAAATAGCCTAGTTTCCATACAGCTGAAATAAGTCTCCCTCAAAAGAGCTCCTTCATTAGATGAGATGGGGAAAGACCACCACAGATGAGCAGGCAGACACTGCAGCAGCACCACTTTAATCAAAGCGTTTACATAGGGGATGTTTTATGCGTGGCTAATTCATTCACACTGTGTTGTTAAGTCATACATCTACACAGCGGGATTTATAAGGTCCTCCTTCTCGCTATCTTCTCTGAGACTCTGAACACTGTTGGCCCATTGGGGCTGTAACTGAACACCTATTAAAGTTTGCCTGTTTTAACTTGATGAGAGTTTTAATAAGGAGTTTTTTACTGGGGTTTTAGACCAAGGGCACATGAATATGTATGAGGATATGCCCAGGTGCTGATTGTGGATTGGTTAGAATGTGCTGTATGTTGGGCATCTGCATCCTGTATTTTGGTTTACAGTAAATCTACCCTCCTCTCTGTACTGAATCTTCAACATTTACTGTGTTATGACTATAGGATGTGGAAAGTTTAAGATATTTAGGCTATTTTACACAGCAAGAAGTCACAATCAATCAATCACATTTATTTGAGCCCTCTTTACATCACCAGTTGTCACATACAGTAATCCGGCCTAAACCCAAAGTGCAAGCAAAGCAGTAGCGAGAGCACAATGGCAAGGAAAAACTCCTTAGATGGAAGAAACCTAGAGAGGAACCCGACAAAGACAACAGCCTCTGTTCTTAGAACCAGGCTTAAAACAGTTCCTAATTCACTAGTAGCCAACACTGCCCAAATTACAAGGAAAAGTACAGCATGTTTGCTACTTCTCTTACAAGTTTTCATTCTGAGTTGTGGTTGTACTCTTCTCCAATGTGGTTATACAGTATACCTGTGGTGATAACATTGCGACAGAGTTTGCTGGGTAAGGGTTCGCCCATTATTGTGTAACTCTTTCATTTCCACCTTATGCAAGTTCTCTGTGGTCTGCTCCATCTCACTGCTCACGGCTCTAAGACCTTCAGAGCATCTGAGGCAAAAGTTAATCTGAGAGATTCTTAATTTTGCAACATTCCAACGTAATGCTCAAAGCCTCAGATATTCCAGGCAAAGCTTGAACATCTTAAAAAACAGAAATCAAAGGGGATAAGTAAAGCCTGTAAGACATACAGTGTGATGTGAAATCTCAGTCATGAAACGTCTGTGGCCTAGTTGTATTCTGTGAAGTCTGACTGCCGCTCAAAAGTTTTGTCAGTCCAAGGTTGTTTAGACCTCATTAAAGTCTAATCACTGAGGTACACAAATTATGATTCATTGGTGTGTGTGCGTATGTGCGTGTGTGTTGTGTGTGTGTGACAGAGAGAGGGAGTGTGAGTCGTAAGAATGTGTGGAAAAGGTCATACTGTTGAGATACAAATGAAAAATGCATGAGGGAGTGCCCCTCTCTCCACCATGGTGATCTTCATGCTAACAATCTCCCTCCGCTCCCTCTCCCCAGTACTGCACCAATAAAGTTATATAATTGTCAGGACAATGAGATGGCAATAAACCTATCTTAAAAATATAATATGATAGTATTGATAGATATAGATTTATCTCAGCTCCGCTTCACGGCTACACAGTGGGCACTGGGCAGCGTCTCTCTCTCTCTCTCTCTCTCTCTCTCTCTCTCTCTCTCTCTCTCTCTCTCTCTCTCTCTCTCTCTCTCTCTCTCTCTCTCTCTCTCTCTCTCTCTCTCTCTCTCTCTCTCAGTGGGTCTCTCTTTACACCTTGATGCAGAACATGTCTTTTTCTCTCCTTGCAGTATTCACATTGCCTGGAATAGACTTCTATTTTGGACAATTTCTCTGTTCACTGTTGAATGGACCCATAAATATTAATACTTCTGCATTCCCCTGTGACTGAGTGCTTGTCATGTGCAATTCATCACTCATCATAATGTCACCACTCAGGTCTTGGACAGGCCAACAAGTTGAGGTGATGACATCACTGTCACTCCTAATTACTGATGTACGCCAAAGGTTTTATGACTTTATGAATATAACTGCTCATTTGACTGAACAGATCAGCATAGGAACATGTGTCCACTGTTCTGAAATGACATGTACAGTGCAATTGTTTTTTTAATGTCCTTTCAATTTACACATGTTGAGGAATTTGCTTCCATTTTGAATAACAGTT